ATTTCAGTTAGAAAATTGCACGATGGTCAGCATATACCGTGTCCCAGCTTTGACATAATGTTGGACCTGTGTTAAATTAATCAATCACCTCCCAACCTGCTACCACTGCCTTACTCCTGTTCTCAATGTAGTTTCTTCAACAAATACTTGACTAATTTGAAATTGGTGTGTTATCTTAAATAGTGTAAATGGTTTATTTATACACATGGTTGTTTCACCACTTGTAAAGTGCATGCAAATCTGGTTGCCCTAGGACTTAATGCAGCTGCTGAATTGTAGCTTCTTTGTAACCAAAGGACATTCAGGATTCTTAACAACTTCAAATTGTTAAATGCATACACAGAATGGCATTGCCTTTAATCATAAGGCGGTCTCCCCCTCCCCTTAATTGCGAGTAGTACTTTCTTAACTGTAGCTGGAAAGAAATCTTGTTTTATGGAAAATAAAATTACACACTGCAAGATAACCTTTTTTAGACGTTCCCACTGAACTTGATGCACTTTATAGTTGTCTTTATGCCTAAATGGCAGAGTGGAAACCTATTCATGCCACACAATGCCTCTTGATTGTATCCATTAAAAAGTTGTTGTTAAACTGAGATTTGTCTCCTCTTAAACTGAAGAGGTTAAAAAAAAAATTGGGGGGTTGTCTTGTGTTTGAAGATATAGATATAGCTCTTGTGTTGTAAGGGAGGTGTGTAAATAATTCTTAATGCTCCTACAAGGTATGCAGTGTGTATTTTTTCAGTGCTGCAATGTTATCTGTGACTCAGATTACCCTACATGTTAGGCACTGTATACTTTTGGGAGAATAATTTTGGCTTGGTGGCTTGTGAGCTATATTAAAGTTGAGAGCACGTCTTACTGTGCCAAGTTGGAAATGGAATCTAGTATAAGTGGATTATAACCAAAAATTACATTCTGTTTCTGTCCTAGAATGCTATATTACAGCAAAGAAAGAAAATAATAGTAGATGGCTAATAATCAAATGCATTGTTAATACTGGACATTGACTTTTGCATTTGTTTTTAATAGTATTCACTTTTCACACCGGAAGTAGGTGAGCTGCAGGAAACCCCCCCACACACACACGCATACCCCCAGCTCTTACCCTTCCTCCTCTTTTTCCTTGTGGTATATGTAAAACTTATCCAAGCAAATGCCGCTGATTTGTGAATTTAGGCATGGGTTTTTTAAAAGTAATTTTCTGATCCTTATAGCTATCTGGGAAGAGTGGGAGGAACTTCCAGATGTGAACTAAGTAATAAACCAATACAGTGCTGTCTTTGTGTCTGTAGACAAGTCAGTCTTGTGCCTGCAATGCTTCTCCTAGACTTGCCAACCTACAGCAAAGTGAATTAGACCAGTGTCTGTCAATTTTCAGAGCTAATATTGATAACTTTCTGTGGGCAGCAGTTAAACTGGTTTAAAAAAAAAAAAAATTAGGCCACTGTCACATTGACCAGGAGTGGCAGGGTCATGGTTGTGGAGTGCCCTGCAGTGCCGCCTCTTTCCTTTTATGGGAGCCACCAGGAACAGCTCAGGCAGAAAGAATGGACAGTTAAGTATACATCTGTGGAGCTGGCAGCCTGTTTATGATAGTAGGCAAACAGCTGTAGGCCGTGCAGGGGTCAGTAGCTTACAGGGAGCCTTGATATGCAGAAACGACTGGGCAGCCATTTCACTAATGACCAAGTGTGGGGTGACTTTTTTCTTTTAATGTCAGTATCTACTTTGGATGGATGCTTGCCAATAGTTAGATTGTATGTCCTTGATACAGGTAAGACTAAAATGTAAGACTTCAGGCTGGTCCATCTCTGTTGTAGTAAACTAAGGACATAATTTAAAAGTCATTAACTTTTAGGCATGTTGAACTCGGTCTGTATTGATTCAAAGACGTTTACTAAATCAAAGTTGAGGCAGGTAATTGTTTTAGCGTTTCTTGCTGGATAATTTGTTCTATTTTTAGTACAGATAACATGAAGAAATGTGGTGTTTCTTTAGAAGTAGCGAAAGCATTGTATGAGATGTTGCTCCCACGTACGCATGCTTCCTCCACCTACACATTTGTCTGCAAGTTGTTTGCGCTTTTTTTTTCCTCTGGGTTTGAGCCTTTAATATTTGAAGGCTTGCATACCTTTCTTGTATAATCTCTGATTACTAAATGTTGCATATACTTAATACTTTCACTTTATGTTCACGATACAGTTATTCTTCAAAGTTTAACGTCTTGTTATGCTGCTTCAAAAGTTACTTTGAAACTGGCTATCCTATTTACATTTTAATTGGAACCTCTGTTGCTCCCATTTGTAGTGGGACTGGAGTTCGATCTGTGAGCTTGAGTTGTTCAGCAGCTTTGGAAAAAGTAGATTCACTTGGGGAAAAAAAAATCGCAAACTACTTTCTTACGTTCAGGATTAGGAAGTTAAGAAAAAATTGTTTTATTATAATATTTAAAGCACTGCCTCTCCGAGCTGTCAGTCTTCTAATAGCATGTTGTTTGTATTAAATGTGTGAGGAGGACTTTGCTTTACCAGCTGTTTCACTGTTAAATAATCTTGTTCGAAAGTTGTGGGTCCCTTGAGGGTAGCAAGCGGTGTATTCAAAGTGAAAGTAGGTTACTGTTTCTGCAGAGTGAAGTGGTTTTAAGACCAGATAGCTTTGATAACTCGGAATGCGTCCCTTTGTTTTTTGAAGTGGTAATATGTTCATACAAAGTGGTTTATTACACAGAATATTCCTTAAATGTGCAGAGGTGAAATGATGGCAGTGTGTGTAAACAGACTATTTCGATGTGCAGTAAGCCAGGGGGGAAAAAAAAAAACAAAGCTTTCTTTTCATGCCACATTTTGTGCTTTTTCTGGTGATCTACCAGCAGAATTCTGAGAGGCTCCAGGTTACTGACGTAACTTGTGAGAGATGCTTAATCTGCAGAGGAAATAATCAGGTATCGCTTTCTCCGTGACATAGTGATTTTCTGGGGCTTCTGAATAATTCATTAAATTTTGTTAAAGGAAAAGCTAAATAGTGGGTTTTATCATGCTCACTGCTTTCTAAGGGTCTTCCTCGGTATAGGGTTGTTAATTTTGGCTTGTAATCACAACTAGTTTATTTCGTTATTTACTAGCTTTTCCATCTGAATGTTACTTGTGATCACAAGCCAATGTTAACAGCCCATCTCCACCTATTTCCTAGCCCAGCTGGATCTCACCTCCGGAGTTTGGAAGCTGCGTCCGAGAGCCTGCTGAGGATGCAGAGTATGCAGCGGCAGGAGAAGACCCTGCTGTTGCGCTGCAGTGAGCCTGTGTCTCTAGGATACTCTGTCAGGCATCTTCAGGGTGATTTCTGAGGGCCTTTGGAAAACTTGGAGAACTGTCCAAGAATCTAGTTAATTAACTTTACGCTGGTAATCAGAAGATTGGGTTATTGGTAAGTCGCTGTGTCCAGACTGTCACTTCACAAACGTTGCAGGGCAGAGTTCAGCCTCTTTTTAATTATTATTATTCAAACCACTGAGTACAGTAAGATCATCTCCCATTTAATTAAATTAATTTCAAAAAGGAAAATTTCAAAGTTGCCATTTTCAGCCATTCTGTCAGAAGGTGGTGGAACAGTTAAAATAGATAAATTGTATCAAAATGTATTTGATATTAAGTTGCTGTATTTGTAGTGTGGAGACTATGTTAATGCAGTGTGAAATGGAAGGAAATTTGTCATACAAATCTATATCTGTAATACTGTTTCGAGTTGTTTGCTTTTTATTGTTGCTGCTCCAAGAATAATAATAAAAATCACTGTGTGATTCTGCAGCATCAAAGTGTTTTATACCTGTCTGCTGGACTTTGCCCAAGGCTGTAACCTCAACCTCAAGCAATGTTTCAGACCCCAGTAGTGAGGATATGTTTTTCTTCATATTTAGCCGCTTGATTCATCCGTTTTCTCTTAGGGCCCTTCTCTGCCCTGTAGTCATGGGATGTCTCTGACTCTTAATGCTTAATTCTCTCCTTCTGCAGCCTCTACTCACAGGTTTATGTCTGGCTGTCTTGTCTGGTCAGCAACTCCAATGTATTTCTGACTTGATCCACGTAGCTAAAAATCTTGGCTTGGTGTTCTAATACTGTGCTACTAAAATGTAGTTGTCCTGGTGAAAAATAGATGTGAGAGTTTGATTACTTGTATTTGTTAGGGATCGCATGGTATTTTTTGCAGGAGGAAGTAGTAGTGTCCTGGTGAAATTCCAACTTGGATGACTGCAAGTGAAATTTAGATGGGCAAATGTAATATTGTTTGGCTACTGCCTTGAGAAATAAGAGGCTGGGGGAAGGGAGAATGAGACAAAAGAATGAGTGCCTTAAATCAAGAGGCTGTATGAGGAATCTCTGGGGTGGAAAGAAGCAGTGGACACAGTGTTCTTAATCTGATTTAGTGCTGCAAGTTGAAAATGTTTTCATTGAAACTCTTCATGCATATCTACATTAATGGAATGTCGTTTGGTATACAAACTTTTTCATATATCCTGCCTTCTGGGTAAGGATGGGCCCTCTCTGGCAGGTACAGAAGGAGAAGAGGTATTTCTGTGTAGCAGTGCGCCTTGTTTGATGGAGGCATTAAGGGGGTGTAGAACAGAGTCTGTGGGCCATCAGTGCTCCAGGTAGTCCAAGAGAAACACAGATCAGCATCTTGGCCCACCTTGATGAGGCAGGTGGTAATCTTTGGCAGGTGAAGAATATTGTCATTTTTAAATGACTGGCATGCCTTGGTTTCCTTATGTGAGGATTCTGGTACTAGTTCTGGTCCACCGAAAAGGTGTACGTATTGGTGCCTTAGTACCAATTTTGCTTGAGGTAGTGCTACAGGACAGTTTCCCCTCAAGAGATTCAGCTCATAGACAGTATATCCCGTGCTTTACCTCAGCGGTACAAATTCAGAACAGAGCAATTTGGTGAACGTTTTAACGATTTTTTTTTTAATTGACCATGTTTTCTGTGTTGTCTTTTGTAGATAAAATGTTCGGCAGTTCGTTGACAACTTTCTTCAGAAGAATAATTACTACTGCTCTGCTCTTGCCATAGTACCAGAATTCTGAGACCTACACGTCCCTGCTAAACACCAGCAGAGAATCCTATTTTGTCCATTCTGTGTAGATGGAACAGGCATCGGTCTTGACAGCCCATCCTGATTTAAAGCTGCTTACTTGGTTTTCTGGGATTAAAGGTGCTCAATGAATCAGAGCCCCCCAAATGAGTCAGACAGCCAATTCTTGCCAACAGTTGGTTGAAAACTGTGCCGCCCATGTAGCAGGGATGGCGCAAGAGGACAGTCGCCGTGGTCAAGTGCCACCCACGTTTTATCATGGTGCCAGCCAGGAACTTGATCTGTCCACCAAAGTGTACAAGAGAGAGTCAGGAAGTCCTTACTCGGTGTTGGTGGACAGCAAAATGAGTAAACCACATCTCCATGAAAGAGAGGAGCAGCCATATTTCAGGGAAAACAGATCGGTAGGAGAGGTCCGGGCTGTGAAAGAAGACAGAGAAAACTCTGACGACTCTGAGGAGGAGGAAGAGGAGGAAGATGAAGTGACTTACAAAAGGGAGCAGATTATAGTAGAGGTAAACCTTAACAACCAAACATTAAATGTATCAAAAGGGGAGAAGGGTGTCCCCTCCCAGTCCAAAGAGACTGCTGTTCTTAAGACCAGCAGTGAGGAAGAGGAGGGTGACAGTGGGGAAGAGGCCACTGAAGACAGTAATGATGAGGAGGAAAATGAGAGGCAGAAGAAAAAAGAGAAAAGAGTGGAAAAAGTTAGTGTTGCACAAAGGAGAACAAGGAGAGCTGCATCTGCTGCAGCAGCCACAACTTCCCCATCACCCAGAGCTACAAGGGGTCGTAGAAAGAGGGTGGAGCCCCCCAAACGTAAGAAGAAAGCTGCAAAGGAGCCCAAGGCACCTGTGCAGAAATCAAAGTGTGAAGAGAAGGAGACTTTAACCTGTGAGAAGTGCCCCAGGGTGTTTAACACACGCTGGTACCTGGAGAAGCACATGAACGTCACTCACAGGCGCATGCAGATCTGCGACAAATGTGGGAAGAAATTTGTTCTAGAAAGTGAGCTGTCCCTTCACCAGCAAACAGACTGTGAAAAAAATATCCAGGTAGGTTTGTTCACCTGCTTGCCAGATTTCCGTACCTTCTGTTGTGCCCTGGATACAGCTAGCGGACACTTCAGAGGGGGAAATCTCTTATGCAGACCAGGTTCTGACCGAGACCTTGTCTCTACATATCAGCACTTTTTGGTGTCTTCCAAAAGAAGTAAGTTGCAGGGAACAGAGTGCGCAACTGCTTGCTGCTTTAGCAGAGTTATTCTAATATTTAACCACATGTTGGGGAAAACGAAAAACTGCTTTTAACACCTGTCAAACTCAAGAATATCTGGCCTGAAAACAAGTGCGTTTGCTGGGAAGTACTTTGACAGGATAAAGCCTGTTTCTTCAGGTGCTGAGCACCTGCAGCTTATCATCACTAGTTTTAAAGTGAAAAGTTTGAGTGTCTTGAAAATCAGTCACGTAGTATGTCCAGGTAAAGTTTCAAGGGAGAGCAAAATTATGACAAGTTGCTGGTGTTGGAATCGGAAGGGTGTAAAATACTGGAGAGGCAAGCAGGTGAGAGAGAAACTAGTGAAGTCAGTGAAGAGATAATTACATACAAGTAATTTACAGTAGTGTTCATGTGTGAGTATGTAAGTGTATGAACTCACGGACTAAATCCATTCATTAGCCTGCCCTGTCCCCAGTGGAAAAAGCTCAATAAATCTCACTGATAGTGTAAAGGTCTCTGGTCTTTCTCAGCAGAAGATTTGCAGCTTTTAATTTTATACAACAATGGAAGCCTGTGTTGTAATAGAACCACTTTAAAATGTAAGTTGTGGAAAGAGTTTCAGAGTTTCTGATTCATCTGTGGTTTGTACTTTGCTTGTAGGCATCTATGTTCTCCTGTAACTGGAGGCACTGTTGTTTTATCTGGCGATTTGAGCATGCTTTGTTGCCTTGTTAAATTAGGCAGAGTGTTGCCACCTACTTCTGAAATAATTCCACCGGCAGGGTGAAGCAGCTTGAGTTCGCTTTCGGTGCAACTGAAGTGTTCAGAGATCGTAGGGCAACAAGTTTTTTGTCTATCCAGTGAGACTTACCAGAAGAAGGATTTAAGATTTTTGTTTGTTTGACCGTTGAAATGCTAAACCGAGTTGGTATTCAGTTCCTACTGTTGTGGGAGACAGTTGAAATATTTATTGCAATTTCTCTTGGCAGTACAGCTCAAACGCAGCTATCACTGCACCATTTTTCCTTAGGTTTCAACTCATAGGAGGAAGGCTGAAGAAAGGAGTATAAGTTTTGAGCATAGCTAGCAAAATCTGTAAACATTCCAGTATGTTCTAGTTTCTGCCAATGAATTGCAAAAAATCCTTGCACTTTTTGAAATAAGTATTTTGAAACTTTAGTGTGGCAGAAAACATTTAAATATAAATTTAAGGAATGCCCTGCCATCCATGTGGCTCGTTGGCCACTTAGAATCTTATGACATTAAACAGGAATGTATGAATAGGTTGAATAGGTGTGATAGAATGGAGAAGCATCTGTAATCCCTGCACTCACATGCTTCTAAGGGGTTACTGATCAATAAATAAGTCTTTTGACACTTGCTATTAGTAAGCGCAGCTTACTGAGCAAAGAAACCGAATCCTGCATTTTGCTGACAGTCAACTCCAGTGAGACTTGCGTGCACTGTTCATTAAAGAGCACCGCAGAGCTCCAAGCTAGCTTTGAGTTAGGTGGTATGTAAATGACTGCACCTAGTGTTTCCGAATAAAAGATCCCACTAAAGCCTGTTGCAAAGAAAGTCTGGGGGTTTTTTGAAACGTGAATGAAATACAAGCCTTGTCTGTGCTTAGTACCTGGGTGGCTGCCACAATGTGAAATTCCTGTTGCCAGCATGATGTATTTGGCGTTTTATATTCATGTACGTTAACTAGTTCTTTCTGTTATTGTAGTTCTTCTAGACTCTGGTTAGAGACCTAGAGTTTGCTGAGTAATGGGCGTACAAGCAGAAAACTTAAAAAGATTTTCTGTATGCTATAGGCATATATATTTCAGTAAAACAAGGGAACTTTTATGTTATATTAAAGTGGAGCGACGTAGTGACACTAACTAGAGCTTTGCACTGGCTGTGTTGATGTTACTATACTCATGCAGAAATACAGCCTGTAGATAATCCCTTACATTCCTTTGTCGAAAGTAATAGGAAAAGAAGAAATTATATCCAGTACAAGAAGCATCAGATCCAGAAATTCTCTCAAGTATTCCTAGTGCCAGAAGCACTGCTTGTCGTCTTCAAGTTCTCTTTATAAGCAAATATTCAACAATTATTTTTGTCTGGCCTAACATTTGGAATGTGTTTTACAGCTGCCTGCTTTTTTTTTTTCTTTTCATGTCCTCTTACTCCTTTCAGCAAATGTAAAGTTTTACGTTAACGTAGGGTTTAATGTGTCCATGAGAATATGGAGCTTTGTCTAGAAAAATCCTGAATGCTTTCATTATATAAGTGGTAATTGAGCTGATAAACATGGCTGGCACCTTTCCAAAGAGAACCTATGGCTATATCTATTTCTTCAGACAAATTCTTTTTTTCTGTTTTGCATCCTTTCAAAATTAGCACCTTCACAGAGTTTATATTGTTAGACTCTTAATACTGGTGATCTAGGCTACTTGTAGCTGATGATCATAAATGAAACTGTAGACTGACTGTTTCAAGGGCTCAGTTAACCTTAAATCAAAGGGTTTTTGATCATTTCTTAGCATTACTTCACTCTCTAGGGTTTTTTCCCCATGGACTACAGTTTGCTCCTGACACATCTCCAGGTAGGTACTTTCAAAGGCAAAGGATCTCCCCGGAGTCAGCATGGTGAGTGGTGTACCAGAGTTTCCAGGCCTGCAGAGATTGGGAGCACAATGAAAACAGCATAACTTGCCTATGCAGAGAAGGAACAGCTCAAGCTGATGGAAGGCATAGTATTTGCTAAATCTGCAGTGAACGGCATATAGCGGTCCTTACTTTGGGGGAAGAGGGTAACTGACAGGCAGAAAAGTGGAGATGTACCAAAAAACCCCCCAAAACATCCAACAGCCAGCAAAAAACCAACAAACCACAATTCCTTCCTCTTCACTTCAAAGATCAAAATGACTTGGTATCCTCACGTATACTGCTCCTGTCAAGTTTCACAGCTAAGTTTGTTCTGGAACTCTGTTTAAAATAAGAGGTGTGTGAAAGCCTGTGGATCCTGCTAATCACTGACTTTCTGGACATTTTGCAGTAGTTGTGGGGTGAGATTAAAATGTGCTTTGCATATGGTCATGTTAAACTTTCACTGCTACTGATATGTATGAATGAAGAGTCAGCACATGAAAGAAACTTGCCCTGCTGTATGAACTGCGTACCGGAGTCTCCACGTGGACAAGAGCTGTGAGGTGGAAGCTGTCTTCCAGCAGAGGCAAAAGAGCGAACGAGCTTTGTCTAATTCACAGGTTGTTAGACCTGGTCTTCCAGGGGTCATAGTGCTCATGAGAAAGACAGGACCTGGACATGCAGTTGGGTGTCAAGGCAGCTTGGTGGTGTTGGCCTCCTCAGCCTCCGGTGGCTTGCTTCTTCCCGGAGGCAGCAGGGTTTTGGATTACCAGCAGCCTCAGTGCCAGTGGAGTCTTTTTTCTCCTGTGTTGGGACCTGCAGTTGAGCTCCCTGGAAGCTGCATCCAGCTATACATGCTGTTGTGTTTTGGAAATAGGTTAGTGCAGTAGCTGTGGTGCTCTTCAGACTTTGGCAGATGGCACCAAAATGCAATGTGCTAACACTCTCTCTAATCCTACCTGATTTGTATTGTAGACTTTGCTTAGTGTATGTTTCAACTGTAAAACAGTAAATGTAAACTGAAGTACAGCTGATAAGGTATACGGCATTTGGACTTATTTTGGGTTTCTTTTTGTTATGCAAGAGGAAGATACGTGGCTTAACTCCACAAACTCGAATCACTGGATCTTTTCTAATTTTTAAACTTCCTTATGTTTGTCCCATTCATTCAGTGTGTCTCCTGTAATAAGTCATTCAAGAAGCTCTGGTCCCTCCACGAACATATCAAGATAGTCCACGGATATGCAGAAAAGAAATTCTCCTGTGAGATTTGCGAAAAGAAGTTCTACACCATGGCCCACGTGCGGAAACATATGGTTGGTGAGTTATTGATTGGTGCTTCTGTTGGTTCTGCCTCACAATTTGTCTGTGTGGTTCTTAACTCTTAATTGCTGGTTTTGGAGAACGGGGCGGGGGGGGGAAGGCAAATTCAGTTTGTCTGAGCTTTAGCCGTAGCTAAAAGTTCAAGTTTATAGTAAGCTAAAAGTTCAAGTTTATAGTAGGAAAGCAAGCAAAGTATATTCACGTATGTGTGTACATGTGTGTATATATATGCACAAGCTGTATAGTTCTGATCATTTTCCTGCTCGGTGTTCCAGACAGAATTCTGGATGAAGAACTGTTTACATTTTAGTAACTCTTCTCTAATGTAATATTTTGTTGCAGCACATACAAAGGACATGCCATTTACATGTGAAACCTGTGGAAAATCATTCAAACGCAGTATGTCTCTCAAAGTACATTCCTTACAGCATTCTGGAGAGAAACCTTTCAGATGTGAGGTGAGGCAGCAACTTTCAAATTAAAAGGTTTGGATATGGTAGCATAAGATATGGAATTAGTAACGCTGTCAGTAGGCGTATGTGTTTTCTGTCAGTGTCCATAGCAAAGCCAGTAACATTGTACAAATTATGGTAATCCTCCCCCTGCTGCCTGGTGACTTGAGGCGAATAGAGCTGGCAAGAGCGGAAATAAATTACTGCTTGATTTTTCACTTGTGGGGGAAAAACTATGGGCAGAGAGGTGATGAGTCCTTAAGTTAACAGGAGAGGGAGAGAAAAGCCATCCCCTTTTCCTGAAACCTGGAACGAATGGAAACAAGCGTTTTGATTTGTGTCTGTCTCTCCTCATACAAAAACGGAGAAAAGAGCAAAGTTTATCAGTGCTGCTGTGAGTGTTAAAAGGAAGAGAGAAAAATGGAAGAGAGGAGAAATTCTCTCACGCTCTTTGCAGTTGGAGAAATAAATGAAAGTCAAAACTTGTCCTGCAAACCAGATCTCACAGACTTAAGTCTGAAGATCAGACTTCTGCAAGAACATTGTTTACTTCCTCTACAGTAGTTCAGAGACTGTATGAAGTAGGCTGTAAAGGCTGCCTCTTAGTGTGTGTGAGAGGATAGTCATCTGTCACATTAGCGGTTATTGCAAAGTGGTTTAAAGTTCTATTTAATCATCTTTTAGAAAATTACCTCCGTGAAGTATAAGACAGTACTCTAAACTGGGCGGGTGGGGGGAGGATCACACTAGTGCATTCCTGTGTATTTCTGATTTGTAATTATATGCCTGTTCTAGGCAAGGAGATCGTATGGGATGGACTTATGCAGTCATATGTCTGGGGCAGATAATGTCTCAGTCATGTGATGGGGATGCTTGTGGGCTATCACATGATGGAGGCAGGCCTTGGTGGAGAGCCCTTCCTGTTTCCACAGCGGCTCACCCTGTCCAAGGAGCGGAGCACAACTGCTGCAGGACACGTAGTAGTAATGGCAGTGTTGCAGCCCCTAAGAGTTGTAGGGAGAGAAAATACTTCACGTTAAACCAGTAGATAATAGTTGGGAAACAGACTGGCTTTCAGAAGAACAAGCCTGCGTTAGAGCTGCTGTCGGTTTTGTTGTGCGAGTAGAGTCCTCTAGTGGACACGCACCATAGTCCAGCAGAGATTGCTGGCAAAGCTGCAAAACCTCCAAATGATACGTTAAGCCAACAGAAGCACTCTTCCGTTGGCATAACCATGTTTCTGCCAGGGTTTTGCCAACAGCTATGTCAGCTGAAGGTTGTGACTGTTCCACGCTCCTTGCCAAGTTTCCTGTGCCAGCAGAATTTTTAGTACAGACCAAATTCTAGTCTTGTTAAATAATTTAAACTCCTTGTTTGCAGAGTGTGAGGGTCCTTACGTGTACTAGTTGAGGTATTCCTTTAATTCCTTCACATAATACGTTTGAATGCTGTCCCACGACCGCTTTGCTTCCTCATGCGTGATGCCTGAATATCATGGCTGCCGTCTGTCTGTTGCAGAACTGTGATGAGAGGTTTCAGTACAAGTACCAGCTGCGTTCTCACATGAGCATCCACATTGGGCACAAACAGTTCATGTGTCAGTGGTGTGGCAAAGACTTCAACATGAAACAGTACTTTGATGAGCACATGAAAACACACACTGGTAAGAACTTTTCTTTGATAAGTACGGTCACTTCCAGGGCAAAAACATGCCTGTGCTTCCATTTATGTTACCTCCCTTGGAACTTGTGATCAAAACTGCTCTCCAGCCTAGATAAATCCGAAAGGAAAGGTTAATATAGGTTAACTTAACGGTTGCAACAAAAGAACTGTCTGTAGTCATGTGATTCACTGTGGGGGAAAATGAGAGGTTAGGCTTACTTGTTATTTGGGTTTGAAGGAACTCCTTGCCAAGAGCCTTGTAATAGAATTTTCTCGTGCTTCACAATCCAAAGGTGAGAAAGGATTTCATAAAAACTGGGGACTTCTGTGGAACCGTTGTCTCTTTGTTGGCTGAAGGTAGCTGTCAGAGTAGCTTTTTGTAATACTCACTTTGTTTGCCACTTACAGCTGAAGTAATTACTAGCAGACGTTCTGTGCCTGACTGATTGCTGTGTCCGTGTTCTGCAGGAGAGAAGCCTTTTATCTGTGAAATCTGTGGGAAAAGCTTCACCAGCCGCCCAAACATGAAGAGACATCGCAGAACTCACACAGGGGAGAAGCCCTATCCATGTGATGTGTGCGGTCAGCGATTTCGCTTCTCCAACATGCTCAAGGCACACAAGGAGAAGTGCTTCCGTGTTACCAGCCCTGTTAATGTGTCATCTGCTGTCCAGATCCCACTGTCCACAACTTCTCCTGCCACCACAGTCCCGGCTGTAGTGAACACGCCCACAACCCCAACCCCACCTATCAACCTGAACCCAGTGAGCACACTTCCTCCACGTCCCATTCCTCATCCGTATTCACACCTTCACCTACATCCTCATCCTCACCATCCACACCATCTTCCTGTCCCCCCAGTTCCTCATTTACCCCCTCCTCCAGCTCTTTTTAAGAGTGAGCCTTTAAATCACAGAGGCCAGAGTGAGGACAACTTTCTGCGGCACCTGGCAGAAAAAAACAGTTCAGCACAGCACCACTAACATCTTTGCTTCCTGCCAGCTATTTTCCCATTTTTATGCACATGGAAACATGCCCTCGTGGAAGTACAGAGGGTTAGTTGGTGAGGATCCTTGTCTCTCTTTTAGCCCTGGCAGATGGTCCTGATTTTCCCTGGAATCAATTAACAAACAAGGAAATTCTGTTTTGGATCAGCAGTGGCCATCTGAACCTGGGAACCAACAGGACTTAAACCCAATTTGCTTGCATTTTACTGGTGACTTTTATAAATTTCAGATACTGAGACTTGTGGAATTTTATAATTTCATATCAGCTGATGAGGTATGCTTGCTTTTATATCCTGGACTTCTCCTCAAAGAGGAGATAGGCCTGGTTTTCTTTGTACTAATCGGAAAGGCTGTGAGATTAATACAGAGCATTAATTGTATCACTGTGTATCGTAATGAATTCTTTTCAGCTTTTGGTGCCGGCTATGGAGTGAGCCAGCCACGTATCACAGTATATTTGAGCATTATAGAGAAAGACAAAAAATTTCTTGTTTGTGTAGCTCTCCTAACACACTCTTTATTTTACTACAGAAATTATTTTAGAGTTTTTTGTATAGACCTATTTAGTAGTCTGTTTCTAAAATGAAATGTATTTCAATAAGCGGTGTAATTTTTTCAGTGTAGCTGGACCTATGTTGTATAATAGATAAATTTTTATAATCATCAAAATGTGATTCTTAAAAGATGCATATAGCTTCTATAGTTAAAGTTATTCTTACAACCATACGACTTAAAAGGTGCTTCGGAGAAGGAAGGAACCCAAGAGGTCTCTGGAAAGGTTGCCTCAAAAGTGATGTTGATTTCAGAACTTTACGTAATTTATTTTAGTAGGGCTTTTTTTTGTTTTGTTTTGTTTTAAACCTTATATTTCCCTTTTCACAGTGTCTCTTAAGCTTATTGGACAAGGACATGGAGATACTGTATTCCTCCTCCACAAGTTCTGTTTAGTTCAGCTGGAGTGAGGTATGAGGTGGGCTAGAAAGGGAGCTCCTTACCCGTAGGGACCCACTGGCTCATAAATTGAAACTCGCTGGTTAACGAGAGGTCTGACAGCAGAGAGAAAATGAACCATCTCAAGTCAGCCAAGTGTCTTTTTCGTTTATGTGGGAGAGCCGGTTTTAATGGTTTTTCATGGTATGATTTTAAGTTGGGGATCATATCAAATGCTGCTCTTCAGATTGCTTATTGGAATTCCTGGAGTTGTTAGGAGAGGGGAATTAAGTGAGATCATAAATGTGGTGTTTCTGACTGGTTGATTGTAAGAGTGAGAAGACAAGTTTGAATGAGACAATGGTGTTTCAGTTGCATCGTTAAGAAAATGCTGATAGCACTGTATGTACCGTGTGAAGCTCTATCCCATAAATGTAATGTGCATAAAATTATGGGATGATTTCTAGGGGTCGTAGTCATACTTTGGCAAATCTAAATTTTGCAGTTGTAGGATAGGAAACTTTGAATTGTAGGCATGTCACTGTTTCATAATCCTGGGAGGCAATGAGGGGTAAATGACAAGTTTAGTGCAGGGATGGTGGGCTGGAATGCCAAATGTATCTGTTTTAACCAGTAAGTAGCTGTTATTTTTCAGGTTTGTATTTCTCTTTGACTAAAGCTAAATATAGCAGCATTATGCAATCTGGGTAACTGTTGCCACCTTCAGTGAAGAGAGAGGCCCAAGGCAATGTACTGTAAGTCCTCTTTTCCTTAAAATTCCTACTTTTCTGTGCTGCTTTTTAAATTAAATCCCACCAAACTATCCATCCAGAGACTCTCATAGGCAGATGTCTAACTTGCCATTCTGCTTATTAATGAACTGGGGTTTTGTGGCTAATGGGATTAATTTCTTTCAGTCTTCAGGATAGCAGAAATGGTGGGAACTCTTCCAAGTGTTGCTTCCTCAAGGTTAATGCTGTTAAGTACTGTGTTTTGAAACACCATGTCCTCTGTCTGAGAATTAGCTCCTTAGTTGACGTTTTTCAACGTTTCTACCACCTAATCATTGATGATGTTTTTTCATAAAAAGCCTAAGAAACTTTAGGAACCAGAATGGGCAATTTTGGCCCAACAAACCTACTCATTTTTGACTGAGCTGAACCCCCTTCCAGCATTTCTGAGAAATAAAACAATGTGTTTTTTAAATGTTTTCTCTATAGTATTTATATACGCCCTCTTATCTTCTAGAAGAAAAAGCTAGTTATAAAAGTGAATTTACACTCTTAATTACAACTATTGTATTTACTGTGGCTGGTCCGCCCCGGAGGTTCTATGCATTCCACGTCACGTTTGCAACCTACGTTTCTGTTGTGCCACTATTTTGTGGTCAGGCCTGTTATTAAATGATTTTTAAATGGTAAAAAATAATCTTGGTAAATCGATTGTATTCCAGTTTTGCAAAATGATTTCTTCTCAATAAATTTACAGTATTAGGCTGCTATTCAGAATTCTAAAATTTGGGACAGTTTTTTGTTTATTATTTAGTTCATAGCAATGATACACCTTGTAGTTTTTTTTTTCCTGAGACTTATGAACTTCCCTTCTGTGGAAGAAGATTAAACTATTTAACCAGCTTTAACAGTCTGTCATAATATGACATGATGTCAACTGATTCTCATGTTAATCTGGGACAAAAATATTGAAATCTGACCTAGTGGTCTCCAAGTGTTGCAGTGTTTAAAAGTACGTATTTCAGCAAAAAAGGAAAATGGTTATTAGAAAAGTCAGAAAGTTCAAGGTTGAGATTTGCTGTGGCTTCTAACTTCCACTTCACGTATTTGCATTGCTGTGCACACCTTCTGAAGGTTCTGTGCAACACTAAGGAATATGTTGAAGTGTATCTGATATTTTTGCTTATGTTGGCAAACTGAGCATAAAGTATTAGCTTTCTCCCTCTCCCTCTCCCTCTCTCTCTCTCTCTCTCTCAATCTCTCTCTCTCTCTCTCTCTCTCTCTCTCTTTTTTTTTTTCCCTAAAACATCCTACAGCCTAAGGCAAAATTTTACTGAATTCTTACCGTTGCCTTTTTTAAAGGGGAAAATTCAACAGAATTACCACTGTAATTGGGAGACTGGCATTCTAAGACTAGCAATAAAAGGACAGCATCTTTTCCAGAGAATTGTAATCCGCTCGTCCTAGGGACAGTGAGTTACCCTTTCTAAAGGTGTTAGCTGTGTGAGCTTGTTTATTCGGTGTATTATCTTAGACTGACTTATCTTTCTGGATAAAGATGTGGTGGTTATTTGTTTTATATTGTCGTGCCTGTCTAAATTCTTGACTCTCCTACTCACACAGCTCAGATACTTCTTAGATGGCTTAATTTGTATTGCTGTGCACATCAGAAGTTAGTAGCATCCATCTTGGGTTCCAAAGTACGTGTTAAATTATGGCTTTTGAAAGAGTGCTTTAAGCTGAACTTAGGGTCTTATCATTGGGAAATTAGTTCATATCTTAACAATCCAGTCCATCTGGATGTTTTTGCCTTTACCCTGTTGTGTCTGTTGAGCACATAACAGCTACTTTCTATTTATTGAAGGGAAGAGGAGGTAAAGCTCAGGGCATGCAGTCTAAAAGACAGTGCTTCCCTTTGACAGTTTCAGTCTGTTTTAGCCAAGTAAGTGAAAGAACAAGCTTAACTCTGAGCTAAGAAGAATAGTATTTTTGTAATAAATTGAAATTTGCTATCTATTTCCTTGTGTTATAATGACCAATGGCGTGATCATCAGTGGGGTCGTGCACCGTTTTTTAGGCGTTTGAGAGCTATGCTGTTGTGCAGAGCTGTTTCTGTGCTTGCAAAGATATTGCTGCCGTGATGCTTTTTGGTATGATTGTTATTTGCAGAGTATATTGGTAATGTGCCTTTGAGAAAACGGTAGAGCGATATGCAACTTGCAGTGAGGCACTCAAGAACACTACGTTAGTAATGTGAAACTTTTTTTGCTCTTGGGACTTGAGCTCAGGGTCATAAAATGTTTTAATGTTTATTTTATGATTTCATATTTCTATTGACTAACAGTATTTTACAAGAACACATAATGTATTGGCTCAACAAGACTTTTCACCCAATAATAAGGAACATCTCACTTGTAAGTAGAAGATGAATTAAGTTTCTGTTCTTAGTGTTGGTTTTGGGTTTTTAGCCTGGGAGACGTGGCTACCTGAGAGATGATTGAAGTGAATAAAATAAATGCTTGCCCATTGTCCTGAGAAACTGAACTGACGCAGTTTTTCCAGCCTAGTATATAATACAGTATAATTAAGATGCGAGTGATCCTTAATGGAAAACATGACTTTGTTCTTTTATCTCATCTGCTTCTGAACTTTGAGCTCTACTGTTTTTTCCGTAGTGACTGTAAAAGTCTTCCAGACCTTTCTAGATTTTTTTATGAGCATATAATTTTTTTTAAATTTGGCATAAAATGTACTGCTAAGCAGAAAACACATATGGAATTTGAGCCTGGATGTGATCTTCTGCATCCTAGTTGGAAAAGTCTAGAGAGGAGGTATGGATGCTTGCTCTAAACAGTGGTCATATGTCTTTGAAGGATGCTATTGTTATGTTGAAGGTGCTGAGACTGGCACTGGATAATATTCAATAATTTTATCAGGCATTCATTTAACGATTTGAAACTGCCATTTAGCATTTCAAAAATTAATATCATTGAACAACTGACAAGGTTGTACTTAGAACTGATGAATACCATACCTCTGTAGACTGTTTATGTATTAAATCATTGAGGGTTTCAAGAGTAGAGGGAAGGTACATTGAAAATTAATGACTATAAAATGGTTTCACTCTTTTGCAGTTTAAATTTGAAAGCAAAAGAGTCACTGTGCAAGTTTTGACGTGCCCATTAAGATTTAAACAGTCTTTCATGGCACATCGCTTGCCAGCTTCCATCAAAGGAATTTGTCTTGTACCGTAACGGTTATTTTCCTCAGATCTGAAAACACTTTTGTACTATGCAACCATATGTCTTCTTTTGTAGAGTGCTCCTTTCCTAGCAGTTCAGGGAGAGTATTCTCTTTAAAAGGCACAGATGGGGAAGAAGGAACACTCGTTTTCCCAGAGTTTGTGTGCATGTGAATGGAACTGGATTTTTTTTGTTTTGTTTTTTTTTTTGGTGGAGATTTCAGATTGGCCAAAAATGGAATTAAACTCAGATTAGTAACTGTCATTGTTTTAGCAGATAGAAGTACAAGGCAGTTTTTGAAGTAATCTGGCATTGGTAAGTAGTATTGTCTTGGTGGCCTGGGAAGATGTAAATCTTGTATTTGGATTTAAGCACACTTTTAGCCTTAAAATAAGTTGCCTGATATATCGTATACATATTAGAGTCATGGCAAAAAATTTAAAATCCGCCTGAAAGGGAAGAGAAGTTAAAGGCAGGGAAGCATCTGCACTTCCTATAGACCCTAGAAACAAATCTACCTTAAGGTTCACAGATGTTCTTTAAAAAGACTTTTTTAATCCTGGTAGCAGCAAGCTAACTTTGCGGTTTTTAAGATTCAAATATAATTCCAGGTAAGAAATGAGAATTACATTAATTTCATGGTTCTCCCCTCTAAATTTCTGCCTGAGTTGACTTGTTTCTTCCTATGCCTAAGAAGAAGTTTGCTGAGGATCGCAGGGGGCGCCCTCTGCTTTTGGAAAAACAATCAGTGCTTTTTTTTTTCCCATACCAATGCTGCACCCTTCTGTCTCTTTAGCTTTTCAAACGAGGATAAAAGATTTGAGAGGGAATTAGTGATCTTTTTTTTATTGTTATTATTATTATTCTGCATCTTAAGAACTGGCCTGTCTCTATATTTTTCACAATAAATCCTTTTGCTTTCTTGTTCTGATGCTGCTTTTGCAGATTGAAAGTGTCAAGGAATTAGAAGAAGTCTTCCGATGAAATTTCTTTGAATATTGAGAATAGCCGCCTTTGTGCGGAGTTGGGGCCTACGTATGTACAGAGTGGATGTGTTTCGCAATGTAGGCCGCCTCTTTGGCGTACTGCGATCTTCTGTACGCGGGCACTGTGGTCAGATGAAGCTGGCTGAGAACAACAGTTAGTCTAGATGTTTGCAGTCTGTTCTTTCATTTCATCCTATTGCTAAATAGTTATTTCATCTATGTCTGTCTTATCTCTCTAACTTAGTGTGAAAACTGATAAGCTGTCATCCGCGCTTCCTACTACTCATTCTGTTTTCCGTGACCTAGGGTTCTTTGCCATGTGCTGTATCATGAGTCTCTCATATATGCAGTTTAAACATGTTTGAAACTTAGAAATTGCATAAAATTTTCCACCAAAAAGGAAACGCTACTCTTGTTCACGTTTTGTTTGAATTCCCTTTTCTGAAAGAACTGGCAAACTTCTGGGCGGAGCGCAGCAGCAGATTGAAACCCCCCTACTGGAGTGAAATGTTGATGTTAATTATTATCTATCACTTAAAGAGCACTGAACAATGTTGTTACTGTTTATTTTTAGCCAACCTATGGAGTGATTACATAGTTCTCTTAGTTTTTTCTGCTCTTGTTTCTGCACAAAGCTGAAACCTGTAATAACACCAAAACTGATGAGTTTAGGATGTCTTCTCAATAAGTTAGGCATCTAACTTTGCTTGAAGTACGTGTCTGCTTTCCTAATGGGTCATTGAAACCTTTTAAGTTGAATTGACCAATAGGGGAATTGGCTGAAAAGGTAGTGGGGGAAATACCCTTACCCTTTTGGGTACAGTAGGATTGATTTTGCTGATGTGCTGCTGAACTAATGCCCTTTGCTGAGATGAGAGGAGACACTGAGAGCAAGACTGTAACTCTAACAAGAGGTTTATAGATAAGAACACGTTTAGTCTGTTCAGAGTTAACGCTGCTAAAATGATTGCACCTAAAGAGAAGCCAGCTATTGATCCTGACTTCATTAGAAGTACAGGAATAAATCCTGGTATGTCACTGAGTAATACAGAAGGTTGCTGCTGTTTCGGTTTAATTTTTGGTATTGTTCATATGATCGCTTATGAACAGACTGTAGAAGCGTAAAGGCTTGGTGGGCAAAGGAAAGCAAAAGATTCTTGAGGTGAGATAGCTGCAAGCGAATTACATTTTCTTCCTGTTTTGGAGTGGAAAGTACAGGAATGAAACCATGGTGAGAGCAGGGATTTTGTCTCTCCTTGCTGTTTATCATGGCCCAGCTGGAAAAAATGTCTAGCAGGCAGAGCTCAGAAAGCCACTTGTGCTTTTCCAAACAAATGCAGGCTGTCGTGGTGTTTTTTCCCCAACGCAATTGCAGTTTGAAAAATAAACTTAATTTTTACTGTATGTTGTGAAAAGCGTCCTTTTAACTCTTTCAGGTAGCACTGGAGATGTATTATTTGATGCCCTTAGTTTAGAGGTGTGCTGTCTCAGTCTGGCTGTCGGATGCTAGGGTATATGCAGTAACTGATTTGCTGCTAATGTTGAGGTCACAGCTGATGCCATAAAATGCAATTTAACATGCTGTACTAACCTTTCGTTCCAAAATCAGCTGTGGAAAGATTTAGGAGGCTTTTTATGTAGCAGTGACTAATTAGTATAATTTCTTGAATAGCATGGGAGATTCTGAAAGAGTTGTTGCTCTGTTTGCGAGTCATAACTTAAGGTTTCTCAGAAAAATACAGCAATGATTTTTACCTGACTGAAAAGTTTTTTAACCTATTAAATGAAGAGGGGGAAGGATGAGCATGTAGGGAGCTAACATTTTTCTTGCTCCATTTTCTCCTGAACCCCTCTTGGAATTTCTATGTTTAATTTTAGATGAGAGCTGGTACTAGCAAGCAGTAAAAGGGGTCAACAAAAAGCAAAGTCAGGAAAAAGTTGCAGTATAGAGAGGCCAACTACTGCAGCCTCCTGCCATGAGTAGTGTTGAACTGAAAAAATAGTATGGCTCTGTTTAGCATGTTGCTTATGTCAGACTTCTTTTTGCTTATTTGACCTGAACAAAAAATAGTTTATGACCGAGTACTGTTTCTGTTTACAATTGTAGTTTTGCAATTTGCTCTTTGAATTGCCTCAACTTTGTTTTGCCTGTAGTCTGAGAAAAATAATCGAGGGCAATTGTACCAGCACATGTGAAAGACGATGCCCCATTCCGTTATCCGTGTGCTGCGCAGTAGTGTGGGATGTGTGTTAAAACCATGCGCTGTTGTACGCGTGTCTGTGCATTGTGAGCTGCAAAATTATTCTGCAACCATGCATTGGTACATGCGAGAACTTGCAAAATGAAAGACTGAACATATTACAAAATAGTTTCCAGTTTAGCTTTTCAAGCAGGAATTCAGCCTTGCTTCTTCCTTTAGCAACTCGATGCAGGGCAGTGAATTGAAGTGCTATTTGCTTACTTTCCTCGTAACCCATTTGTGTGCTTTCATCTCCATGTTTAAAGGCTTCTGCCTTCCTCCTCCCTCCCGTAGCCTGTGAGAATCCATTACTAGGAAGACAGCTATCTCTGTGAGTTTTGATAAAACTAGGAAGCTCATTAGAAAAGCACTGTTGTAGAGGAAATTTTTTTATTTATAGGGTTTCCTATGTTGTTTACTACTGTGTCTCCTTGAGCAGCCTGTGTGATTAAATTTAGTATATGACTGTCAGATGGGTAAATATTCCCTGTTCCGAAGATGTGGAACTGAGAGACCATCCTGCCTGACGTTATGTAAGTGACAGACAGCTGGGAACAGAGCTCCGTGTGTTATTTCTGATTCAGACCGCTGCCCTTAACCACAGGAACACCATTTCCCTTTTCAGTTCTCTTTAGATTCTGTACGTAATCTTGTCTCTGTAAGGTTTTTCAGACAGTGGATAGCATATAGTATAATAAAGGAGAGAAGAATCAGAGAGACTTATACTATGTGGTTATATTGAAGCTGTTATGTAAAGGCAAAAAGTTGTGAATTAGAAAGAAAAAGGCGATTGGGAGATCTTACTCATCTCAAGATGTGTTTCTGAGTGCTTAAGCTAAGCAGAGAACAGAACCTGGCCTGTGTTTCAATTGGAGATGCCTTGGAACAATGATACATAATTTTTCAGTCTGAACTAATTTTATACCTTCTCAGACAGTCCCCAGCATGAAGGTGTCAGCTTTCAGCTAGGCCTTAAATATCATTGATAGTCCACTGGTCTTCCGACACTTAAAATTAATTACTTCATCCTGTTCAAACTCTGGTTAAGTGTGCTCTGATTCTTATGTAGCCTTTGTGATTTCAGCAGGTTAAAGTATCCTACACCTCCCTTTCTCGGAACAGTTTCTGGATGGTGCTAAAAGAAAATGCATCATATGTCAGAGAGGTCGAATTTGATATTAGCTGCAAGATGACCTAGTTCCCCGGGGCTAGAAGGAAAACCAGTGCATTGAGAAAGGAGAGCATCGAGGAAGCACGTTACCTAACTGTCCATTCTAGTTGCAGGTTTGTAATGGAAAATGATTCATCAGCTGTCACCAAGGAAACCAGGGAGTGTGTCAGAATATACTAGTTTACCTTAAGTTAGGGTTTGGGCCCTTTCTTTTAGAAATCATACATTTACTAATTTAGGGTGGTTAAATCGTTCACAGGAAGATTCTTACACAGCCTGAAATGTTGCTTCCTGTTCTGTGAAAAGGTAAACTTCTTGTTACTGCCAGAAAACGACAACTGGATTCTGTTGCTCAGTGTCTTACAGATTTTAATTTACTCATCTTAGATATGTATATATTTTCATGGCTTGCGGTAGTCCATCCAGACTGCCTCCTGTTTTTAAAAAACAAACAAAAAAAAACCCACGGAAATAATGTTAGATTGTCACAGAAGATAAATGCACTGGTTTAAGTTAACGTAACTTATGTTATATCATGTTGCTGTCATACCTTGTGGCTTTTCCCATCCCACAAAGAAATCATTCCCCAGAGGGCTGCCATTTAATATGTGTCCTTTTTGTTGAGGAAGAAAACCTGCAGGAGAAAGAGTTTCTGGAGGATTAGCCAGGAGATGGCAGTGGGGTGGATCACTGCCTGCTGACTGGTTCTTGGAGAAGCAAATGAAGTGGATGAAGGAAGGCTGTTTGCGCCTCAATTGATGTTTAAATCTGTGCATGAAGTAATTTACTGAATTAGAAAAAAAAATCAGATTTTCAACTTTTCTGTTTAATTGCTCATGTCCTAGATCCCCCAAATTGTCACATAGCTTAAGTTCATATAACCCTGATTGGACCCCCTAAACACACATTACAAGCCAGCGTTCCAGTTGCAGCGACTCTGTGTGGTGGCTCTTGACAGCAGAATTGTCTGAAGTCGTTTACGAATTGCGCTGAGGCAGAGCTCTGAAAGTGGTGGTCTTGGGTATTTTCTAACTGAACTTAGTAACTTGAGGCTTCAGTGAGCAGTGGGAGATTTGTGAGCTCTCTTGGTCTCTTCAGAAACCGTTGTGGTGATAGCTGTCGGTTATTAGATTGGATCGCTCGAGAGGAGTAGGAGGATTTTTAGGCTTGCCTTCTGATGAAGCAGATAGAGATTGAAATTACTTCCATGTGAAAGAATAGCATTTCCAGCTGAGCAAGTAAAATGTATTTTACAAAGTGGCCTGCAATTACCGAGAAAATTATGTTGCTCTGTTCACCAGCAGGCTGATGTGAGAGCAGTTAGTGGCCCGTACAGCTGACCTGCAGTGCACGGAGATCGTCTGCATTATCTGTCTCTCTTGTGCTACTTCAGCAGAAGCTTATCCCACCTGATAAAAAGCCCTATCTGTTATTTGTTTCCTGATTTCTATATGTAATTTAGAATAACGTGCAAAATACTGTGTTTTGTGTAGAGCTGCAGAATTCCGCTTTGGCATTTAACATCTTATGATTCTGCAGTGTGGCCATTTGAGTCCTTAATAGCAATTAGTCTTATACATGCTTTCTTAACTGTCATTTCTAGTATGCAACTTTTCCCTCAAGATTAATAATCACAGATAAGCAGCAGAAGCTTTTGGTGAATAAGTTCCCTTAAGGAGAAGGGGGGAGAAAAAAAAAATCTTTTTTTGTCTGAACTACATGATGATTTTGTGCAAATTTGTCACAGTTGTGTCTGGGTATGTGGGGGAGGAAGCACCTGTATTTCCTAAGAGTGGAAGCAAGGGAGATGCAAATCTCCTTGCATCTGTTGGTCAGCGGTTAAAACCACTTGCCCAGGATGTCAGAGTTAGAAATTTGATAAAATTTTCTTTCAAAAGGAAATAGAGCCATATCCTTTCCCCTGATCACAAGAGTACAGTAAAGCGACTATGGAGTGCTACAGAGCATGGCTCTTTCACTTACTCTACTTACCACTTTATTTTCATATAGACAAACATTTACCAGACTAAAGGACTTGGAGCTCATGTCTCCCCTGCTGGGTTATATGCTAAGCATTTCTTCCCGTGAGTCCTCCTTTCTTCGTTAGTATTCTTGAGCATTAAAAATGAAGTTGAAACCCGTGGTGACAGGAGAAACAGAGAGACCTCGGCCTTGGATAATTTTAATGGTGCAGCCTGACCTGAGCAAAGTCTGCCACTTCCCATATCACGCGTCCTGACTCTTGCACTGTAGACACTGAGGACCTGGCGCGTGGGAAGGTTGCCCCACGTCATAAAGTGAAGAAGTGAAGAGCTGCTGTCGTCTTGGTGCTTAATTCTTGGGGTTCTGTTCCCCTGTAAAAGAAATGCTGGGTATTAGAGGATTCTGTCCTGAGAAAGGCTTAGCGCAAGGTGATTACCTGTAATTAGCTGTGATTGAAGTTTCCTTATCCGTGTGCCTTAACGATTGAGCTATAGCAGCTAGCTCCCTCTGTGAGTGAAGGAAAGCTTCGACTTTTAACGCTTTCCTGAAACGTGTATTGCAGACTGCTGACGCAAGTGCCAGGAGTATTGGGCTTTTTGTCCAAGACAGGTGACCGGATTTCTTTTATAGGGACTACCGAACTAGTCTGAACCGAGCTCCTTTCGCTGGTTTTATGTGCATGTGTTTAACCATAGGGAAATAAAGCAAGAGTGGGTGGACGGACAGCTATGCGGACGTTGCAGGCTTGGAGTCGCTAATGTGTTTATGTAGCGCACTTGCTTGTCAGTTTAAAAAAAAAAACAGTAGGGCAAACTCGGAGATAAGTGCGCATCTATGTGTGTCTCGTGGTGCCGGTAGGTTGTAGCCATCGCAGGAAATCCCTGTGTTCAGAGGAGGGTTGCCTGTCTATTCAGGGGTTGCCAGGAGCTAGGTCAGCCCAACGCAGAAAGAGCTGTCCTCGCTTGCTCTCTGGGGCTCTCAACAGCGGAAAATCACCAGGATCCAATATTACCCTTGCCAAAAACTCCTCTGCCCGAGGTGTTTCTGGAATGATCTTTGCCCCGGTGCCTTTCAGCGGCAAGGAGGCATGAAGCGGTGGAGAATTTGCCCTTGTAATACCCCGCTCATACCCCCGACAGCCTTCTCAAACGGGGTCTTCTGCGTTAACAGAAGGTGATGTACCTCTCAGGACGAGGCGCTCGTACGAAAGAAAAAAACAGCAAAACCCGTACTGTAGAGATGAAATAGTGTGTGCTTTGCATCAAAAAACCAGCAAGGCTCAGACTAAATAAATGATAAAATATTTCCTTGGCACCCAAAGTTGTTTTGTAGGAGAGGACAGTGACTGCAGGCAGCTATCTGTATTTAAAGGTCTGTGTCCTTTAACAATTAGGAGCAAGGTCCATTAAGAAAGGTCGCAAAATACCAACAATTTGGCCACAGATATGCTCTGAGCTCTGCTGCTGGCTGGGGCTGGAAGTGAATTCTGCAGAAATGGGGAAGCGTTAGAGGTGCTGGGGCTCGGAGGTGAGGACTGGGGCGACGCACGGTTCCCTGGAGGCGCTGGTGCGCGGGGGATCGGTCCCGAGGCCGCGTGCGCCACACGAGTACAGAGCAGGGACTTGTGTCCTTGGCCATCTTTTGAATTTTATTTGGCTCCTTCCATTCTTAGACGTTTTTAATTAAAAAGTAAAAGAAAACCCAACCTCTAGTGGTCTCAACTATCTGTTTTTAACGCTGTGCTGATGTGTCCACTCCCTGCCCGCACCCGCTGTTTACAGTCTTTGGACAAGCTTGTCTTTTTTCCCCCCCCACCCTTTTTTTTTTTTTTTTTTTTTATTGGGAACTCCACTACAAATTAGACGTCCTGCAAAACCAAAGATACCACTTAAACACCACCTAAAGCGCAAATAAGAATATTTTAGGGTGTGGACAGGCTTGCTCCGTCTGCCCCGCTTGTGTGCGTAGCCCCTTTGGAAGAGCGCTCTGTAATCTGGCGTCCCGGGATCTAAAATTAGCCTCAAAACCTGCAGTCTGCCCAAGCTGTGGGCAACTTCCTTAGCCAGAACAGGGATATTTTTATATCCCTGGTTCCCCGTTCTTTCATTAGGCAGTTGTCAGTAAGGGAAGGCAGCTTGCCTGCTCCGGGCGGGCAGCGCTGACTTGTCATCCCTCTCGGGCTCTATTTCAGGGAGCGTTTGCGGCTTTTTTTGCTCTTCGGGCTCCCTTGAGGGGAGACACGTAGCCGGCTCGGGGCTGGATCGGAATGATGAAAAAGGATTATTTCTTACCCCAATTGCCCGTTTCTAGAGAGGAGAGAGAGAAAAAAAAAAGGGGG